CCGAGGCTATAAATCTTTACGGGCGCAGAACGCCTCATCTTTCTCCAGCTGGTAGTTTTGAACTGTTGACCTTAGCGGTTTTCAGCCCGATTCATAACCACTATGCTATGTTTTTGTTGTTGTTAAATGCTGTCGAGTCAATTCCGACCAATAGCGTCCCTGTATAGGGTTTCCGAGGAACAGCTGGTAAGCTTGAACCACCGACCATGCAGTTCAAAACGGCTTTGAAGTCTGGTTCATTAACCCACAGCGCCACATATAGAGACCCTTTTATGAAGCCTTAAAAGGAATAAAGACCGAAAAAAAAAGGCACTCATCTGTCAGCCTGTAAACTGTCAGCAGCACGTACCCAGGACAGAGGCCGATGGAATCTGCTGAGAGACAGTCACTATATGCTGTAAAGAACAAAGGAAGTTATCACAGGATCATGATTGGTGGCAGGTCAGAACATCACTGTCACAGGTAGGACTGCAGAAACAAGGAAAGGACAATGACTGGGGTACATACATAACTTCGTCTCAAAGGTTACAAGACTGGTTCTGGGGCTTTAATTCCCTGTCTACATAATGGTCAAGGTCTGATTATGATTACGTGACCTGAGTCATACTTACAAGATGATACTAGGACAATGCCAGGACCTCCACCTTTAACTTAAATCAGATAACATACAATTGGCTATTTTCAGTAAATCATTAAAAATATGCCCAGGCATGTTCCCTGAGGGCAAGCTGCCTTATCTTGGACTTGCCTAGATTTGCCTAAGCATAGCCACATTGCTGGTTTAAAAGCCGACTGGTATTGGGGAAATAACTCAAATGAAGTCTGAACCTATGTCAAGACTCAAACTGTGGAGTTAAGGCTCCTGTTGTAGACCACAGCCTCCCACAAACAAAGTGCTTTAGAATTGAAGCTCTCTTACAGGATAATGTACTGGAACGAATGCCAGGCTCAGCTGTTCAAACCCACCAGTCATTCCTTAGAAACCTTATACAGGGTCGCTATGAGTTGGAACCGACTTGACAGCACTAAAGTTTAATAGGCTAAGAAGTCTAGTGATTTGCCCAAAGTCTCATGGCTTGTAACTGATTGAGTGAGATCTTCCATGGGTGTTCTGACTCCCAGTTCCATTCTTTTACAGAAACACTGAGGCTGTGTTTCCAGATGAAGTGGCCATATAAGTGAGCCATTTCTGTCCTTGTGGGAGTCTGTTTTAAAACTTGCCACCCCTTCTAGCTTCCTGCCTTCCCTTTGCCCTTCTCACAGAACAAAGGAGCAGTCTGAGTCTCTCAGTGCTGCTCTGACAGAAGTACCACAAGAGGGCGGGTTTAACAAACAGAACTATATTTTTCTCACAGTTGAGGATGCTAAAACTCCAAATCAGAGTGAACCAGCCATAGGGGACGGCTCTCTGTTGTCTCTGGGCAAGAACCTTGTCTCTTCCAGCTTCGGTTCCTCGGTTCCTCCAGGATCTTGGCATCTGTCTGGCTCTGTTGTTAGAGCTGTTGCGTTGCTCTGATTCCTACTGACCTTATTATGTATAACAGAACACTCCCCATCCTGCACCATCCTCACAGTTATTCTTACGTTTGAGCCCATTGTTGGCTGCCACTGTGTCGGTCCATCTCTTGGATGTCTTCCTATTTTTCACTGACCCTTTATCAAACATGATGATGCCCTTCTCCAGGGCCTAGTCCCTCTTGACAACATGTCCGAAGTACAAGAGACAAAGTCAACTTCCAAGAAACATTGTGGTTACACTTCTTCTAAGACAGATTTGTTTGTTCTTCTGGCAGACCATGGTACTTTCAGTATTTTTGTGTCTAGTCTGCTCTTTTTATATCTCAAAAGTGACTATACTTGTATTATTAGCACAACAAAAAAATAACCTTATTAGCATACCAAAGAAAACTCTTTCCCAAATGGGATGACATCCACAGGTATACCAAATCCTAACCAAACCCACTGCCATGGAATTCATTCTGACTCACAGTGACCCTACAAAACAGAGTAGGAATGCCCCAGAGAGCTTCCTAGTCTGTGAATCTTTACCGGAGAAGACTGCCACATCTGTTGTCCACAGCATGGCTGGTGGGTTCAAATTGCCCACCTTTTGATTAGCAGGTGAGCTCTTAACCATATGCTACCAGGGCTCCTGTGTTTAAGGGAGTGCATTTCTATACATAACAGAGGCTGTTGTCTTTCTGTTGTCAGGCTCTGATTGCAGAGGAGACAAGCAGCAAACTTGCAGAGCAGGAAGAGGACCCTGAGAAGTTCCGAGAAGCCCTGGTGAAATTCGAGGCCAGGTTTAATTTCCCGGAGGCAGAGAAGTTAGTCACCTACTACTCCTGCTGCTGTTGGAAGGGCAGAGTGCCCCGCCAAGGCTGGCTCTATCTCAGCATCAACCATCTCTGCTTCTACTCCTTCTTCCTGGGCAAGGAACGTAAGTGGAGGCTCGCAGGGGCTCAGGAGTGGGTTGGTCCCTCACAGATAAAGGCAGCCCTCAAGGTGCTTAGCATCTGGTCCCAAGGAAAGGCATCAGTATGAAAAGCTAAACAACAAAAGAATAAATAGTTAAGGTGATGATAGGTTGACATCCTTGGTTAACTTCCAAATGATTTCTGTGTTGTTAAGTGCCGTCTAGCCGTTTCCTACTCATAACGATCCTTTGTAGGGTTTCCAAGGAATGGCTGGTAAGTTTGAACCTCTGATCTTGTGGTTCAAACTGACCTTGTGGTCCAGTGCTTATCCTACAGTGCCACACCAGGACTTTCTCTATATATAGTTGTGTTGTTGTTAAATGCCATCAAGTCAATGCTGACTCATAGCGACCCTGTATAGGGTTTCCGAGGAGTGGCTGGTGAGTTTGAATCGTCGATGTTGTGGGTCCAAACCAACCTTGCAGTCCATCAGGACTCTCCTCCTCTCTGTGTGTGTGTGTTTACTGCGATTATTACTACTACTCCTACTTGGAAGCACAGTGGCTCCATACAATAACCACTGGACTGTGAACCACAAGGTCCAAAGTCTATAGTTTAGGCCCACCAACTGCTCTGTGGGAGAAAGAGGAGGCTTTCTGCTTCTGCAACGATTTTAAAGATGAGTTGTGGCGACCCCATGTATGCAGAGTAAAGCTGCACTGTAGCATTGTCAAGGCTGTGACCTATAGGAAACGGACCAGCAGGCCTGTCTTCCCAGGTGCCTCCGGGTGGATTTGAACTGCTAAACTTTCGTTTTAGTAGCTGAGCACTTAACTGTTTGTACCACCCAGGAACTCCACTCCTACAATGAGGAGGTTTGATTTGTTAGAATTCTTCTTGACGGCTTTCCATTTCTGTGTAGTTGACTTCACATTGCTGCTGAAGTAGCCATATGAGCTAAAGTTTTACTACTACTGTATGTTGCTTTCAAAACACAGCATTCTAATTAACGACCAACTATTTCTAAAGAAATAGAATGTATTCCTCTTTCTTAACATGGGAGACGGCTGGAAATCTCTAGTCATGAAGGTCACTCCTTACTGCTCCTTGGAAAAATAGACAGACAAAACAATTGCTTATAGGAGGGGAATCCTTCACTTGTGTCTACATGAGATTTGGGCATTAACTCTCGTTACGATGACCCAGTGACAGGTGTTAGGCAGTGGGATTCCAAGGTGTGAAAGCTAGGTGAGAAGAGGAGAGGAGCATCGCAGTCTAACTTGGGGGGTGTGGATGGGGAGGTCTTAGTCAGATAGTGCTGCTGTAGCAGTAACGTCCACCATGGTGGGCGTTAAGAGATCCAAAGGCTAGAAGTGTGAATTCCGAGTGCCAGTGTAGGGAAGGCTCTCTCTCTATCGGCTCTGGGGAAAAGTCTTTTGTATCCCTTCAGCACCTGTAGGCCAGCATTCCTTGGCAATCTCCATGCATGTTGCCATTGATCTTCTCCTGGGACTAGGAGGTTCTCATCCTGGGGACCCTGGGCCCAAAGGACACACTCCATTCCTGGCTCTTCTTTTTTGGTGAGACTTAGGCCCCTCCTCTGTTTTCTCTCTTTCAATGAACACAATGCAGAGTTCTTCAAAAGTGGATGCTTAGTAAATGAATTTTAACAGTGTCAGTGGAATAGGTGTGTATGTGTGTAAAAAAAACTTTGATGCGATTATAATCAGAAGTAGCTGAAGAAGCTTATTTCCAAGGCTGATGTAGACATTTGGCCTTCCAGAATTATCAAAGCCCTGAAAACCTTATTGCAAAGTAAGTGAGAAGAAATGTTAGAAATTAAAGCCACTTAATTATTTCCTAGAGTCCTGGTGTGGCACTGTAGAAGAAAGCACTTGACCGAAAGGTCAGTTTGAGCCACAAGGTCAGCAGTTCAAACCCACCAGCTGCTCCTCACGAACCCTTACACAGGGTCACTATGAGTTAGAACCAACTCAACAGCACTTAACAACAACTTCATTTAAACAGGAATTTTTTTCCCCCTGCTAACACTAAACCTTGTTTTGTTGTTGTTGTTGTTGTTAAGTGCCATCGAGTCGGTTCCGACCCATAGTGACCCTGTACAGGGTTTCCGAGGGTGTAAATCTTTACGGGAGTAGAAAGCCTCATCTTTCTCCCGCGGAGCAGCTGGTAGTTTTGAACCGCTGACCTTAAGGTTCGCAGCCCAATTCGTAACCACTACGCTACCAGAGCTCTTGGTAAAATTTAATATGAAATAGAGGATTGCTGATCTTTGGGAGGGCAGTGGCTCTATCTTATAAGCACTGGAGTGTGAACCACAAGATCTACAGTTCAATCCTGCCAACCATTCCATGGAATAAAGATGAGGCTTTCTGTTCTTGTAAATACTTAAAAGCCTCAGAATCTCTATATATGGTTGCTATGAGTCGGAACTGACTTGGCACTTAGCAACATTAACAACATTTGATACCATTAACCATTTTAAGTTGTTACATGTGTTTCTTAGATAAAACCAGCAAGTGAAATGTAAGGCTTTATGACTGTCCCAACCCCCATATGTCTGCATTTGTATACTACCTATCTCTGTGTTGGAAGCATTTCTAAGAATAGAATATTTGCTTTTCACATGTACTGTTAGTACTGTATTACTTTAAAAATTTCATGAGAGTAACTTGTACTCTGTCTTCTAAGACTTAGATAACTGTTACTTGACATAGTATAAATGTTAAGCTGGTTTCCCTAAGTAAGAAAAATGTCTATTTCCTCCTTTTTTTTCCCCCCTAGCATATGGTTACGAATCAGGCTGCTAACCTCAAGGTTGGCAGTTCGAAACTACCAGCTGTTCTGAGGAAGAAAGATGAGGCTTTCTGCTCCCATAAAGATTTACAGCCTCGGAAACCCTGTACAGGGTCACTATGATTTGGAACCAACTCCGCAGCACATAACAACAACAATACCCCTTTTTGCTTCTTACATTGTGAATGCTCTCTTTAAAACTAGGATTTATCTGGTTGAGAACCTTTTTTTTTTTTTCATTTGCTGGTTTCATTCCAGTTGTGTTTTCATTTCAGAACTGAATTTTGGACACTGGTATGTTTCTAATTCACACATTTCAAAGGAGACCGTACATTCAGAATTCTCCCCACAAAGAACAAATCAAATGAGTGCAACAAATGTTCTTTGCCCCCAAGAAGTTAATTTATAGAAAAGAAAACATCTTTTAAACAAGTTGTCCAGCCCACTGCCCAGGCTACATGTTCATATTTACTGGATGACAGCACATTAATTTTTCATAAGTCTGCTTTCAAGCATAAACATAAATAGTCACACTTTAAAAGAGCTTCACACTAAGTGTTCAGGGAAGTGCTAGACAGCTGGCTACGACACCATTATCTTTCCCCAACTGGGAGAGACTGGGACAACTGTGGGCCCACAGAGTGACAGGGCAAAGGGGCACAAACCTGCATTCAGTCCACTGACGGAACGCTTTTCTGCTCTAATGCCCCTGCATGTCTACACATCCAAACCACGGAATGCAGCTGTCTCGGAAGACTGGTTGTAAGGATCACCTGTCACTGTGCTGTCTTCCACAAACACCCAGGACCCAACCTTGGAAGTAGCTGCGCTGGGAGAGCGCCCCATAGCGTCTATGTAGAACAGGCTGAGCGATGCTCTTGGTGTGAGCTCTAGTTGTGCATTGCCCTGCTGCCTTTCAGGTAGCTTTTCCATCTCTTGACAAATTCTTTGAAGATTGGGTACTCATGGAGGGTACTGAGGAACTGCAGTTGGTTGATGTGGGTGGTGTGGTAGTCCCAGTGAGCTAGGTTGGGCTTGATGCCGAACATGAAGTGACGGAGGTCGTAGATAGTTCCTGAGCCAGTGTCGTACAAGGGGAACATGGCTTTCAGGGACTCCATGCCATGCTCATACAGAGTCCTTGCTTCTTTCTTGAGTTTTTCCCCTGCAGTTTCCTTTAAATCATACAGTCCAGTTAAAGAATACATGAAGCCATTTAAAACAAAAGGGCTAGGTGTGGTTGGGTACTCTTCATATCAGTCATATTTATTCATAAACACAGCCTTAACTCTCATGTTTCTCTGATAGAAATTTGTAAAAAGGGGTCGTTGCCCTTAAAGCTGAATTGAAGAATATGTGGTCTTTTGTTAATAGTAGGCCCTGAGTAGTGTAGAAATGGCTTTCCCTTGGGCCATTGAAGAGTACCACCCTGGCTCTAAAGACTTGAACCCTTCTCTTAACTTCTGGGTCACCATGATTGACCAGCCACCTTTCTCTTCCTGGTTCCTTATCAGCCAATCACTGGCAGTGAAGAATACGCCATGTGCGGCTGTGGTAGAGATGGTAATGTTGTCGAGGAATCCTTTCCCTTTTGCAATTAACTTAACCACCTTCTTGGGCATTATTTTGGTTGGCTTGACAGCTTTTGTGTTGGAAAGACCTCCTCCTTTCCTGAGGTCTGTGACCAAGCCCCTGGTAACTGTGCTCCATGCCATTCTGGATCCAATGCCATAGTAAATGTCTCTGTCCTTAAAAGCAATGAGCTGGGTGTTGGACACATAATGGACAGTGAAGACCAGATTCTTTTTAGTGGTCTCTAGGACCACAGACACACTCCCATTTGTCAGGAACTTGAGATCAAATGAAATAATAAAATCATTTGTGCTCCCCAGTTGTAGAGACACACCATCACTGGTTTCGGGAGCAATGAACTGTTTTAACATTGGTGAATCTAGACTTAGCAGCCACGATGGCCATGAAACAGCCCTTTGGCACAGTCCAATCATTAGGCTTGCTGTTTTTGTCCTTGTCTTCTGCTGTTTCATACAGCTCTACGTGAGGGACTTCTCAGTTAGATTCTTGTTGGAATGACTTAACCCATACTGTGCAGTCTGGATTGGATAGAAATAACCTTGAGGTCCCCATTGTGTAGATAGTGGTACACCTTCAACTCCACTTAGGCACTTGACTCTCTCGGTCTTCCATGTTGTAGCCTTCAAAGGACATAAACACACCGTCGGGGTGGTTAGGGGCACTCTGAGCATAGATTTTGGAATAGCTATGAGAGAATTCAAACTGGTCATAGCCATCATACTGAATCACCTTTCCGTACACGTTAAAATGTTTCTCTGCCCAAGAGAATGGGAGAAAGACTTCATTCTCTTCATGTCTCCCTTGAATTGTATGCTCATCATTTATGAGACAGTCAATCTCCTCACTTCTCCATAATCTCCACAATCTTCTCCCACTGCCGTTGAAGCCCCCCACAACAGGGAGCGCTTTCTGCTGCTCCTGAGGGAACGTCTCCTCAGACTGCTGGTTTGGCCACGTGGTTCACATAGTTGTTATTTTCTGATGCTACTGCTGCTCTTTTCTCTATTCCATCTGGATTAAGAAACTTGTAACATGATGTTTAAGCTTAAAGATTCCTGAGAAAGTTTATATATTAACGTGATATTACAAGCTGATATACCTTGTAACTGTGTGGTGTCCTGCAGCTTGGTCTTAGGTGTGTAAGACAATCTTTAGAAGACAGGTTGTGTTTCTGACAGAGACGGCTCTATGGTTGAAAAGGCATGTGCATTTTGGTATAAGGAAAGCCTTGAGCAGTTTGCTGATACCCTTCAGTTTGACTCACATTTTAGGGTAAAATGTGTCTTTTTTGTATTATAGTTAAACTCATTGTCCCTTGGGTTGATATCCAGAAGTTAGAAAGAACATCCAATGTCTTTCTGACGGATACAATCCGAATCACCACCCAGAGTAAGGAACGTGACTTCTCCATGTTCCTGAACCTCGATGAGGTGTTCAAGATAATGGAACAACTGGCAGACGTGACTCTCCGAAGGCTGCTGGACAATGAGGTCTTTGACTTGGACCCTGATTTGCAGGAACCAAGCCAGATCACCAAGAGGTAAGAACTTCAGCGGCCGGGCGTTCCTCCCCACTCACCATCTGTGCCTCCTCACCTTTAGTTTCATGTACTCGATTTAAGTTTCCTTTTGCATAATACAGCTTTTCCTATGTTATTAACCTTGACAGAGATGAAATAGTTGGAAACGATGATTGATCTTTTCCTTGATGCAAAAACCAAACTCATTTCCATTAAGTTGCTTCCAAGTCATAGCGACCTTGCAGGACAGAGCAGAACTGCCCCATAGATTCCAAGGCTGTAATCTCTACAGCACTTGACCACAAGGTCTTTTTGAACTTCAAGGTTGGCGGTTCAAATCCCCCAGCTACTCTTCAAAAATTTTACCCAGGGTCACTGTAAGTCAGAAAAGACTTGAGGGCACTTAACAACAACAATCTTTATAGAAGCAGACTGCCTCATCTTTCTCGCTAGAGACTCTAGTATGAGTTCAAACAGCCCACCTTTTGGTTAGCGACACTATACTGGGTTTCCAAGCAGTAGCTGGTGGGTTTCAACTGCTGACCTTTTGTGGCTCACAGTCCAGTGTTGGTCCTACTGTACCACACCTTAAGTCATACGTTGTTGTTGTTAAGTGCTGTCATGTCAGTTCCTACTCATAGCGACTCTGTATAGGATTTCCAAGGATTGCCTGGTGAGCTTAAACAGCCGACCTGGTGGTTCAAACCAACTTTGCAGTCTAGCACATTATCCCGCAGCGCCACCCCAGGACTCCAGGAGCCGTGATAGCCTTGCCTTTAAGTTGTGTGTCAATGTTCTTTATTGTGCATTTGTTCCAAATTGATCCTAGTCGTGGAAGCTTGTCAGGTAGTTGACTGAATGTCACTATAAGGAGGTAAAGTTCAGCTTTATTGTCTGAAGACCGACGGGAATGTTTGCACGAGACTGGGATCTTTGGCTTTGTAGCTTATAGCTGGGTGGCTGCAAAACGGACACAAAGGTAACCTTTGAAAAACAAGTTTAACAATAAACGTCTGTGCTAGTTGAATGCTTTTAGGTATAGTCACAGAATTACTGCTATTTCATTATTGCAAGTCACTCATTTTTCTTATTAAGCTAATTTCTAATAGCTCATCTGTCTTATTCTTGATAAAAAAATTCATGAAAATATCCAACACTGTGATAAAACATAGGTGTTACACTTCTGCTTCTGAGCCAGTTTAGCACTTGTTAAGTGCCATTGAGTCGGTTCTGATCCCTAGCAACCTTGTATAGGGTTTCCATGGAGCGGCTGGTGAGCTTGCACCACCGAACTTGTGGTTCAAACAGACCTTTGCAGTCCAGCGCATTAACCCCCAGCGCCACACCAGAACTCCAGTTTAGCACTGTTGTGTCAGAAAGTCTGCATGGCCATCAGTTGTTGTTAAGTACCGTGGAGTCTATTCTGACTCATAGTGAACCCTGCATGGGGTTTCTGAGGCTATAAATCTTTCCAGGAGCAGAAAGCCTCATCTTTAGTAGTATCTCATTATTCTTCTGAGCATTTGTTTCCTGTATCTGGACTGGATGACCTAACAATAAGTTCCATCATTAGCTCCGAAGTCGAGTGTTCAGTAACTACAAAGAAAGTCTTTTCTTAAAAAAAAAAAAGTGATTTACTATTTCTTAAAGACGTCCTGGTGTCACAGTGGTTAAGCGATCTGCAGTTAGCATTCACCAAACTTTCCATAAAGATTATAGCTTTGGAAACCCCACAGGGTAGCTCTGCTCTGCCAGATAGGGAAGTTATGAGTCAGAATCAACTCAGCAGCAGTAGATTTTGATTATCTCTTAAACATCGATCGTCTTCTATGGACTTCTAGAGAAGTTTAGAATGTCTTTCTAAATAGCGATCCCCTAATGGTAGGGTTTTCATGCATTTAAAAGAATTCGAGACTTCCTGCTATTTACATAAATTGTAAACACCACCTGTAATCACAAGTAAGACAAACAAATGCTCTTGATTTTTTTTTGTTTTTTGTGGGGTTTTTTTGAGAAATTCCAAGGAATTTCACATGGCTTTGTATCTCTGAGACTATGACAGTCTCTTGGTAGCTGGGGACACTCGTCATTCTCTTATGAAAGAAAGCACTTGAGGTGCCATCTTTTGGTCATCTGACTTCTAGTGTATATGTACAGTGTCACTCTTAGTGCCAGGCTCCCTGTATGGACACCTTCTTCCAAAGGGAAAATAATACAGGCGAATGGGAGCCACACACTACCATATTTTCAACCCACTTTACAAATACCTGTTCAGAATGGCGGGGGGGGGAAGTATATATATGTATAATTTTTAAGACTAGAAGAAATAAGTCTCGGTTGTTAAAGAGCTTATGTAAACCACCACTGAAAGCTTCTAACTCTTTAACTTGGTGTGTGTAAGTGTTTGCGTTGTGTATGTGGTTGCCAGAGCATTGTTGGAGGAATGTAAGATTAGTTAATAGTCTTGTACGAGGAGACTTCAAAGAGTTTGTGGGGAAAATTTATTATCTTTTCATTCCATTTTTCCATGAACTCTTTGAAGGCTCCCCCCCACCCCAGCTTCTGTAAGTCTAGGTCAGCCTCATGGCCATTGGGGTTTCAGGTAATCCCTCGCCAGTTTCCTGTCCCCTACCAGTACTTTGTTTCTAGATACGGCATTTTTGGTTTGGGATAAAAACAAGGAATGAAGAAGATGATCCAAGTTGGTAGCCGTCACTACGGTCCTGGTAAAGCCTTCTGTTTGGGAAGAGAAAACACATATGGTGTCAGTTTTCATGGGCATTCCAGAATTCAGGTGGATTCTACAAGGCTGCTTGGCTCACCCTGAAAATGATTAGAAAGGAGAAAAGAACAAAACGAGGTTGTGTGGTGGGCTGTGGTAGAACTATGAGGTGCCGCTGATCTGAGCCCAAGACAGCACAACTCTGGTCCGCAGTGCGTCTCCCTGGTCACGGCCCTTGGAGTGACCCCTCCCCAAGTGAAAGGCATAGCAGTCCCCACTGATCTAGTGCTAGTTCTCATTTGTAGCTTTTTGTCATGGAAACTGAGCCTTTGGATATAAACAGGTAATGACTCAGTCAACTTGAATTTCTGCCAAGAGAGTCCATGTTTTAGAGTTTAAGAAAACAGTCTCTTCATGCTGAGGGCACAATAGGACGTGCTGGAATACTCCTGGGTATTTTTTTGTTGTTGATGATGATGATGATATGTCTTTACTTCCCTTCCCAGATACCAGCTTTAGAAAGGTGGCTTTTGGGTCAGGAGTGCAGGGAGTCCTCTGATGATTGATTAGTCCTGATTGCTGCTTCTGCTCACTCCAGGGGAACTTGGGGTGCAGATGGGAGCACAGCTCCGGTCTCCTTTTGCATGCAGTGGGGATAGGATCCAAATCATGAAAGTTAGAGCTGGGAAGACTCAGGAGGTCACCTAGTCCTGCCCTCACATTTTGCAGATGAGGACAAACGAAAAGCATCTTGACCAGGGATCCTGAAGTGAAATCCAGGAGGTGATGAAGGGAGAGGGGCTTCCTAGAGGGAGAACGCAGGGAGGGATGTGATTGTTTCTTGATTCTGGCTCATCGCGAACCCAAAGTGCAGAATAGAACTGTGCTCTCTCTGTAGGGTGTTTCTTGGCTGTGAACTTGAGAAACAGATCGCCAGATCTGCCTTCTGAGATGCCTCTGGGTGGGTTTGAACTGCCAACCTGTCTGTTAGTAGTCGAGCACATAACCATTTGTGCTACTCCAGGACTCCATGGAGGGAGTGGAGGGGCACTAGTCCTGCAGTTTCTAAGCAGAGAATGTCTCTTCTGAAGTTGTGGATGCAGGGGAGGGAAAAGTGTATCCTGCTGTTTAGTGATGGGCTTTACTGTATCTCTGTGGGTCTTAATGTTTTGCTTTCTGAGAATCCTGCAGGAAAACTCAGTGAATTTCTTTTCCATGTTATCAGCTCTTCAGGGGATCAGTGGGGGCCTCAGGGCAGGTGTCCTTATCGGTGAGCCCTTGTTGTCTGGCTGGTTTTGAGCTCTCCAGCATCTGGTTTGTTTGTTTTTTTTCCAGCATCTGGTTTTGCAGACCTTCTTTGATCCCTCCTCCCCGGGGTTCACCCCTTTTCCTCCTATTCTCCTTGTGCCCTTACTGGGATTGCCCAGGCCTTTTCATTTACTTGACTTTCCCCAAGCCCTGCCTTGCCCCCTATCTGTCTCTGATCAGTTGAGACACTCTTAGGGGCTCCTGTAGCTTCCCAAAGCCCCCACTTTCAGGGAAAGCCATGTCTTACCCTTCACAGTCTGCAGCCCTGTGAGCTGTTCAGGTGCTGTCAGTGGGCTGGGCCAGGTGGTGGATGGAGAGAAGAGGACTAAGGCAAAAGATAAGGAAGAAGTCTCACAGATGTTCTGTTTTGTTGAGGTCCTGCCCTGCCAGGAGTCCAATATGGATGGGTTTTTTTCTATAGCTTTGGTTTTCATTTCCTCCTTTCTACTTTTATGTATTAAAAAAAA